TCACACTGAGCCTGGTTCTGCTGGAGGTTTCTTCCTGTTAAAAGTAAGTTTTTCCTCTCTGCTGTCGCTACAAGCATGCTTAGTGTAAGGAATTAGCCTCGTGTCAATGAGTCGATGCAATCAACTGGTTTTTCTTTGAAAACTTTGAATCAATTTGACTGGATAATCTGGTGAACTGTAAAGTGCCTTGAGATGACGTGCTGTGAATTGGTGCTTTAGAAATAAACGTAATTGAATTGAATGCAGCCCTGTAAGCAATTCTCTCCCAGTTGTGTTTGTCTGAGGGATGTACCTGGTCCTCCTCCCCTCCTCCCTCCTCGTCATAGTTCAGCACGTTCTCTCGGATGTCCTCCCAGCCGTCGTGATGTGCTGAGACGTGGTACACACCCTCCTTCAGACCTTTGTAGGTACGCCAGCGGGTGTAGAGGAAAATGCCCAGCAGCAGCACTGTAGAAGATACAGAAGGTTCAGCAGAGCCAGAGTTACACACCGAAATTAAATGATCAAAATCCTTCAAGCAAGAGTTGATCCCTTCCCGCTATCATCTCAATCCTCATCGCCATGCAGGGGACCAAGACATCTCGCCTGGTCAGCCAGGCGAACAATGACCCTAACGACTCCCCTTTTCAGAGGCATAGGCCAGTATTGGGTATGGCAGGCTAATAAAGACCTCAATGACTCCCAACTACTAAAGGTAGTCCGGTTCAATTTACATGTTTTCTAAGCTACTCTATAAACCTTGGAACCCAACATTACTCTGGATATTTTGATTGAAAAAGCTTCCTTGATGGGAAGCGAAACATCTTCAAACTTCAAAGTCCAGTGGATTGTTTTTCAAATTTTATGGAATGACTATGACCTGGATGACTGAGAATATTCCCCTTCAGATTTCTTTATGATTTGCAGGATAATTTCCTCATTTTTTTTCCTTTTACTAAGGGGAAAATATCAGAAGTATTTTCTTCTTTAGAAACAGTGCTATCTCCTAAATAAACTGTTTTATAGGGCAGTTTCTACCCTAATAAATAAAGGCCTGCAAGGAAGCCCCAGAAAAATGTCCTGGATCCTGTAAACAAAAAATTTAACACACATAGATGGGAATAAATGAGCAAGCACTATGTCAAAGATGTTAAAGACAAAAAAAAAAAAAGCTTCTGTTTTATTATTATTTTAAAATTGCATTTCAACTACATTTTCCTGAACATTAACTTCCTGGAAGGTTTCAGTCAGTTGTGTTGGTTTGCACCGTTGTGATTTTAAGTTCAGTGCCCATCCATTTAGGATGTCACATTAATGTCGGGATTTTATATTCTCTTCTATTCCCAGCCAGCTGGGAATTTATAGTTATGATACTTTAAGATGGTTATTGACCTGGTAAAATATCTTATTTAATCAGATATTATTTCGGCTGTCATATATTGTTTATGAACACACGCCCTACTAGCTGTGTGTTAGAACAATAAGTGAAACAGTGATTCGAGCACTAATCAAGGTCAAACAGTTTATTCTGCACATACATGGAATAAATTCACCACAACTTCTGTTCAAGATATCAAGATTTCACTAGTTTAGCTGGACTACGGTAAACTAGTGAAACTGAACTCAACTAAACTACTATGTACAAAGAGGACAGGGAACATGGTTGAAAACCATATTACAGTTTCATGTGGATTTTTTTGTTTGAAAACCAAGGTTTATCTAGAAGAATTTGGAATATGATCAAAGTAGCTTTTCACTAATTTATAGAAATTGGAATATTTTCAAACCAATTCACAAAAAAAATCCATGTGGTGAATAAAACATTATTTGATCAAATAATGTTTTAAAATGATGTGAGTGTGAGAGTACCACAGGGATTAGTGGTAGGACCAATTCTCTTTACTTTATACTAGATCATATCGTACACTTTCATGTAGATTTTGAATGAACAATGTTTTAAATGAGTGATGTTCTTCGTCAATATCTGGAGAACTGCAGCCCTCAAAATAAACCTGTCTCAAGTGAAAGAAATATTCTCTGTTTGTTTCATGCTCTCCTTGGAGAACTAAAGTTGCCTCAAGCGTTGCTAACGCCGGATCTCTGTAACCAGAATATTCTTCTCTTAAGGTTTGACAAAGAGCTGAATAACTTTCTCAGATTTTTGGATGAAGAGATTTTATGAAGACATGGACGCTTCTAGCTGTTTTTTTTTTCCAAATTAGCTTCAATTTCTCACGAGAAGAAGGAAATGGCAAGTCTTTTAGACAGTGTTCAACTTCTTGAAGATAATCAGTTATGTTGGAGTATTGATTTTCTGGGTCAAAAATAACAATGTCTTTGGCTAAGGAATCAATTTGTTGAATTCTATGGTCACTCGGCGGCCCTGGCCTATCAGGATGTTGGGTGTGCTCAAAAAATGGTGGGGGATTTGGAGCTAACCTTTAACGACACAAGGGAGACTGACTCTCCTTAGAGTTTTTCAAGTTGTGAATCCTGGCATTTGGTGCTTGGTCAAAACGGTGTGAGACAGAGTATAGATTGGGCAGTTGTACCTTGCAACATTTTAAACTGCTTGACTTTACAAAGTGATCTAATTGTTTCTCTCTGTCTCTGTCTGTGACACTACTTTGACTTTGAACATCTTCAGAGCTATTTTGTGTTAACTCAGGATTTAGAGACTTTGTGTCTGTTTCAGGAACTGTTTTCCTTTCGACTGGTCTGACCTCCTGCTGATTCAGAGTCTGCTGGCTTCATTTATCGCATAGCTCCACGGGGGTGGGGGGTTGACACCCTTTGTTCTAAGGCATGGTCACTCTGGCCTTGTTGGTCTTTGATCCTATAAGCTTCTACTGTTATCTCAGCTCCTGACAATAAAAGATTTTTTTATCACTAACTGATCATCTAAGGCCCCGTCCACACGAAGTCAAAACGAACACGAAACGCTGATATTTTCCAAAACGTTTGCCGTAAAGACGGAGACGTAAAATAAATGTGAGCGTCCACACGAATGCATGAAAACGCTGCAAAATGTATGCCAGGCCTGCAATTGGCGCTGTGGTGCCAAAGCAAAAATAAGCGACGAAATGTTGGGCATGCGCACTAATATTTATACATGGTTGCCCTGCGGGTCCATTTTCGTGGTTAAGTCAAATTCAGGGCTGAACTATGTCGTCGATATTGCTCTGTTCTTCCTGGAGATATTCCAGAAGAAGAAGATTCTGTTGTAAGCCCGACAGCAGGGTGAGTAGCATTAGCAGCAACGGCGCCATTGTTGTTGTGATACTGGTCGCGCATGCGTGTTTAGAGGCGACGCTATGACGCATGCTTGTAAAAAAAAATATGCAGTTAGAGCATAAAGATGGAAACGCGAAAACGGCGTTTCAAAATCTTCCCACTCTGAAGGCTGAATAAAAAAAAGATCGTTTACACACCCCCGAAACGCAGGCTTCGTGTGGATGAGAGGCTGGTTTGGTGAAAAATTTGTGCGTTTAGGCCAGGGTTCGTCTTCGTGTGGACGGGGCCTGATACTCACTTGCTCATATTTTTCAGTTTCCGTTTTCATTTGGGTTTTTAATTAAGTTAATTAATTCTTGAATCTTTTCTTCACATAGACTGAGGTTAAAATTGTTTAGGTTATCCAACTTAGCTGGAGATAAGTGGATACGCTTTGCAACAATTTGTTTCTCTTTCTCCATGCCTATAGAGTCAATGATGTACCCAGAATTGAGGATGCTTGGATCCATTTTCAGCTAATGGTACAAAAACACAAGTTATGAAGAAATCTCAAAGAACACAATCCAGTCAGTACCGATGCTTCTCCCTGAGCATGCGTGGGTTCTCTCTGGGTACTCCGGCTTCCTCCCACAGTCCAAAAACATGTCTGTTAGGTTAATTGGCTTTTCTAAATTCTCCTTAGGTGTGAGTGAATGGTTGTATGTCCTGTTTGTCCCTGTGTTGCCCTGCGATGGACTGGCGACCTGTCCAGGGTGGACCCCGCCTCTCGCCCATTGACAGCTGGAGATAGGCACCAGCACCCCTTGCGACCCCACTTGGGACAAGCGTGTCAGAATAGATGGATGGATGGGTTGTGACTATAAGATCTCATTGAGTGGTGAGAGCTGACGTTAATGCTTTCATACTGTTTTCAATAATGGCTCTAAGTTTATTCTCATATATGTGCAGAATAACTGTTATATTTGAAGCCCACTCAGCACCAGAGGGCATGTAACTAGCCCGTCTACATCTCCTTTGAATGGCCCACGGTTCAAGAAGGCTACTGCAATCTGCGTGCAAATGTCTGAAAGAATTAGATCAAAACAGCATCATCTCTGACTGCTTCATGGTGGCTATGGTGTAAAACATAAATCCATAACAGTTTATGTGTAAATATTCAGATTGGTTGGATTTGAAATGAAGCAACCTTCCACTGCAAGGAGGTCTCTGATCAGGATTACAATCAGCTGGAAACCATTCATTCCAGGTTTGCATTCAAGCCTCCCACTGAATGCAAATGTTTTATCTCAGAAGGTCATGACATCATGACAGATCTCTGAAGGTTGAAGTCTGAGAGGTTTGTCCTTAAAATCTGTAAACCATTAACCCTCTGTAGATGTTATGATCACTTTAGTTTGTATCTCCACATAAATAGAGTGAATTATTCTGCCTTACTTTGATAAAAAGTCCTTAAAAAGGCTTTATTGATTCTCTGTCTCCATGGTGACCGCACAGAGAAGTCTGAGCTTCCTTTGATTAAATATTTCAATTTTTGCTGATTTGATCAATACATCTAAATGCAAACTCTGTGGTACTGAACATGAGAGGATGGATTAATATTCTGCCTTTGCTAAAAAAAATGCAGAACTTCATCATAAGGAAATAAAAGTTAATAGAGAATGAGAAACTGAAGAAGATGCAAATGATCTGGTACATTTAAACTTCCCATCCGCTCTCTATTAAGCTCTGTTTTTAGTTTGATGTCCTACCCTAGAGAGCAGCCTCTCTTCCCTGTTTGTTTGTTTGTGGTTCAGATTTCTGCCAGGTTAATCCCATTGAGTTCTGTTTTTTTTTTCTTCTGTAGGAATATCTGCAGTTTCCTCATGTTTTGTTTGTAGAACAATTAATAATTCAGCTTTTTTAATGAATGATGTAGTTGGTTAACCTGAACCCTTAAAACTTCTTTATACGATCAGGTTCTTCAACTTTCTGCCACTTTCCTGCAACATTTACAGTAGTAGCCATTGAAAATTTCCCCACTTTCCTTGATGGGCCCTTGGCTGGTCCCCTTCAATTCCTTTTTAAACATCAGTCTTTGTACTAAAATATTATATCTGTCATGCTTTGTAGATCTAATAGAAGCGTCATGTTCTGGTCAGACAGTATAACAGTGACAGCCATCTTAGATTACGTCTTAGTCTTTAGGACGAAAACTATTATTTTTTTTTTGTCGCATTTTAGTCATTACGATATGT